AAAGAAAGAAAGAAAGAAAGAAAGAAAGAAAGAAAGAAAGAAAGAAAGAAAGAAAGAAAGAAAGAAAGAAAGAAAGAAAGAGAAGGAAGCAAGCAAGCAAGCAAGCTGGGTGCTGGTGGCACGCCTGTAATCCTAGCTACTCAGGAGGCTGAGATCTGAGGATCTTGGTTCAAAGCCAGTCCAGGAAGGAGGGGGAGGGGAGAAAGGATTGGGGGGGGGGGAGGATCCAGCCATGTTATTCTGGACTTCTGGCTATGAAACCTAAAGAGAGTAAATGCTTAAGCCACTGTGTATGTGGTAATTACTTCTGGGACAATGGAAACTAATACAGACTTCAGTCTTAGGTATTTTGTAGTTTTATTTATATTACAGTGTCTGTCTATTGTTAATATAATATAAAAACACATTAGTCTTATTTCCAAACATCTTGTTAATCTCATTAATTAAACCAGTCTATACAGTGTTTCCATATAACCACATTTTCTGTAAGAGTTCTGGCCCTTCCTTTACAAGACAACCTCTGCATATTACTGCATTGGCTAGGATCTCAAAGAGTCATTGATAGCTGTGAAGGTGTACATCCTTCTCTCCTTGTAAACTTTCACCAAGTATGATAACTATTGCTTTATATATTCTCTATCAAATAAAAGGCCCTTCCTATTCTGCTTTTTCTGTCTTTTGTGTCGGTTTGTAATCAAGAATGGATAATCATTCTGCTGAGTGCTTTATAGAAGTCTGACACAAGTATACAATTTTTGTCTTTTCATCTGTGAGTTACAGTAAGAGATTTTGATCTGAAACATTCTTAATAGAGATGTTTCTATTTTAGTTCTTTTGTTTGGGTATTTGGAAAGAATTCTCCACTACATGAGTATTGATTGAGACAGGAACCAGAGTCCCCAACCACTGCCAGACATGCTACGGGCACATGACCTGGTTTTCAGCCATGGGCTTAACTTCTGGACCAGTGGCGCAAAGATGAGTTTAAAATTTACCTAAGCAGCAGAGGAATCTAGTTGCAGAATCAACTGTGTTGAGCAGGATCATTGAGCCAGATTTTTC